CCAGTCGTCATCTCACAGCTGGCTCCGGCCACTTGCAGAGGCAGATCGGCGTCCCTGGTTACCGGGTAACCAGGGACGCCGATCTGTCATTACACTGAGAACCCGGCGGATATCACCACGGCTCCGCTGGGTTCTCAGTGTGTAATGACAGAACAGCGTCACCTGGTTACTAAGTAACCTGTCACGCTGTCCTGTCATTAGGACGAGAGCTTGGCAGAGCCGGCTTTCATATTATCGCCGGCTCCGACAAGCTCTCATTGTAATGACAGCTGGTCCTGGCCAATAGAAAACAGTTGGGCAGGGCTAGCTGTAACTGCTAGCTCCGCCCAATCATTTTCTTTTTTTTTACATCACTGGTTGACAGGAGCTTGGTGGGATGACGGTAAGAGCATACAGGTTGCTAAAATCTGGCTGGGGAGATGTGTGTGGCTCTTACACATCTCTGCCTGGTTCTTAGCAACCTGGTGGGATGCTCTGGCTGGAAAGAGTGCGGCAGGTACACTGAAAACATTGTGCAGCAGAGCGATTATGCCGCTCTGAGGCCCCCTTGCGGCTGAGCCAATAGCCTTAGACTGCCTTATTACAGGGACAGCCCTGCACACTGCGGTCTTAACTACTACAAACCTGTTGCCTTAAATACTTTCTGCATTACTGACTCAAATAAGCCCATGGATCAAGATTTGTCACTTTACTGGCTGCTTGCTTGCTGCTAGCCAAAGCGACTATAATGTTAGACTGTGCTGGGGACATTAGAGTGTGAGCCATACTATATGGTCAGATGTATGCGGACATACTTCCAAATAACTAAGTTTAAGTGCTTCCATTAAGGCCTCATTCACACTGTAATTGGCCGGCAGGTACAGCTCTGTGCTGCATGCACGGCCGTATCGGGCAGCTCCCGGGAAGGGCAGGTGCTGCGTGTGATTAGTACACAGCCCATGTACGTCGTTCTACGCTCACCTCAAGTGCAGGTCCGTAGGGGTGCGTGTTTCCTGTTTTGGTCGCAGACAGGATCCATCTGGTCAGCGTACGAGTACAGACACCCGCAGAAATGTGTTCTTCCAAGTTTTCTTCAACCAGTTGGGTGAAGACTCTTTTCCGTTCCACCATGACTGTCCCTTGTGTACAAAGTCAGCTCCATAAAGACACGGTGTGACCAGGAAGCGGAACTCAAATGTCCTGCACAGAGCCCCGACCTCAAACCTACTGAGCACCTTTAGGATGAATTGGAATGCCCAAATGTAAGCCAGATCTTCTCATCCAACATCAGTAACTGACCTCACAAGTTCTCATTTGGCTGAATGGGTACAACTGCCCTCAGACACCCTCCAAATTGTTTTGGAAATCCCCTGCAGAAGTGTAGAGACTGTTATAGCTATAAAGGGGAGCCAACTCCATACTAATGCCCATGGTTTTTGAATTAGCTATCCGCATAACCTCATATAAGCAGTCAGCTGTCTACAAAGTTTTGTCCATATACAGGCGTACTGAGCCGACCTGTGACAGTCTCATTGTCACAGGTCGGCTAGAACTATGAGGTGAGTGAAAAGCACGCCCCTCATAGTTCTCCTCTCCTTTAACCCCTGTAAAGTTTGTTTTGCTGTGTGTCCCCCTGTTCACAATATGTCCCCCCACTTTGTCCCTGTGACAATTGTATTTTGAAAATGTTGGGTTGTTGTGGAAACAAGGATTGTTAATAAAGCTTCGGTGGAGACACCTTTTTCCCCATGATCACTCTTACAGGAGTGAATTTCCCTTTCTAGGGAGGGGGGGGGGATTTCCTTTCACTTCCTGTTGTCTCAAGGACAGGAAGTGAGATTAAATCTTTCTGAGGAACAGACAGCAGTAAAAACCTCACAGTGACCCGGAAGAAGAGACGGGCACACGTCTAACAAGATCCAACTTCCTGTAATGTACGTAAAGTACCGTATTTTTCACTCCATACGACGCACTTTTTTCCCCCCAACAAGGAGGGGGAAAATGGGCCTGCGTCTTATGGAGCGAATCCCGACGCCCGAGACATGCAGTTTCGGGCAACGGGCGAGTAGTAGGAGCCACTGCGTGTTTTATACGAGTGATCTAATGAGATCACTCATATTAAAACCGAGCAGCGGCGGCGGCGATCGAGATCAGTAGTAGGAGCCACTGCGTGTTTTATACGAGTGATCTAATGAGATCACTCGTATTAAAACCGAGCAGCGGCGATGATCGAGATCACCACAGAGCAGACGAAGAACGGAGGTTCTTCGTCTGCTCTGTGTGATCACTGAGACCGTGGCGCTGTAATCACAGCGCCACCTGTCTCAGCGGTCACTAACTGCAGCTTCTGTCATAGAAGCTGTGACAGAAGCTACGGTCTGTCGAGTGCTCCATAAGGCGCACCGGACCTCCCTGGGTCCTATGGTCCGGTGCGTCTTATGGACCGCAAAATACGGTGCTACGAAGTAGACCCATAAAGGCCGGGGCGCTCCTTGTCGCATGAGTGCGGTAGCATTGCAACTACCCCCGCTGCACAGTGATAGCCCTGTTTTGTAAGTAGGAGTCGTATGTAAGTCGGATGTATGTAACTCGGGGACTGCCTGTAGTGTACTTTATGGTAAAGGGACTGCTGTGAACGGTTCGACATAACCTGTAAACGCGGAAATGTGTAAACAGATAATCAGAAAGCATGAAAACATATAAAAAGAAACAAACTGCAAGGAGTGAAAACCCCCCGTTCACACGGAGATGTGTTGGAAATCTGAGGTTATTTTTCGATCAGAAGGTGATGGACCATAAACAGTGTCTCTGTTCTAGAGTATGCATTGCAGATGAGAAGGTGACAATGTCACATTTAAACTGTGTGCATTTTTTTTTTTATTGTTCGTGAGAACAAAACGTGGTTTAAGATATCAGTGTCTAATTAATCGCCTCAGATGGAATGAAGAAAGCCAGTTGTCACTTTGTGTCATGTGTGTGCTCGCGTCTGTCTGCGGAAAACTCAGTCTGGAAACACGGGGGCTAAATACGGGGCACGTGAATCGCTTTATTAGGCCAGAAAATTCCTCCATCTCTCATTTGTTATTTTTTTAATCACTGAAATAACGTCTCACTAGCCTTTGATATCCCATTTCCATGGCGACCTCGGTGTAACGGTTAATGGAGGTAAACAGGCTCCTTCCGGAGAAGCGGGAGCTCGGCGCTCTGAAGAGGTTTTAAGATAATTTGCTGGAGATATTGCCGCTCTTCACAGGAAGCGGATACATTCCAGATCTGGGTAAACAACCGTGAAGTACATGGGCCACACCGGCACTTAAAGGAGAACTATGGGGTCAGTGTTTTTCCCCATAGTTCTCCTTAGGGTAACGGGAGGACACAAACCAGCGTCCTCCCGTCACCCTAAGCTCAGTATACCGCGAGCTACAGCTCGCGGTATACTGAGACGCCGCAGCCGGAGCGGATCCCGACTTAGCTGACGGGATCCGCCCAGCTGCGTGAGTGACAGCTGGCTCTGCCTATCTAGAGGCAGAGCCAGCTGTACCCGCCCCCTCCCCCGTCCGTTCTGCCAGTCAGCGCTGGCAGATCAGAGCGGGGAGAGGCGAATCCAGCCCCTCCCCCAGTCAAAGCAGAGAGCCGTGACAGGATCGAAAGGTGAGCGAACCTGGTATGTGTTCGCTCACCTCCCGATCTACTGAGCCGACCTGTGACAGTCTCATTGTCACAGGTCGGCTAGAACTATGAGGTGAGTGGAAATCACTCATCTCATACAGTAGTTCTCCTTTAAAAACATTAGTATATATGTACAATAATAACTAATAAAATGTATCTAAATTCCAGTAAACAAATGTTACCAATAATCAGTTTTTTTTTGCATTGCCATACTTGTTACTATTGCTGTTGTTTTGTAT